GGGGGGGGGGGCTTTCACACGGGCTCTTCTGATCTATGGGGGGCTTTCAGCAGGGGGCTTTGGGACAACAATCATTGGAATCCCACCTTAAAAATCGGCTAATTGAGCACATAATCGCGCAGAACTTCTCGCATTCATTGCGCGTTTATGTAATCTTATTGGTTGCTCACCCGAAGTAAAAGCTGCGATCAGGATCATTTGTGTGATCAGTTCCCATTCCTGTTGAGAAATCTCCCATAGGTTTGCTCAGCAACTTGGCATGCCCGATTTAACCGTCCCGCTATTGAGGACCAGCACATATCTGAAATGAAGTGAAAGGAATGGATGACGCTTGAAACACTCATTCAGATATTGTACCTGACCGCAAATCACGATGATGAACACCCGGGGTATGAACACTTCATTGCCAAAAAATGCTAGAATTCAAAAAAATCCAGATCATGAAGATGACTTCCGGACGTACAGGTGGAATTAGCACAATTGACTTGCAGGAACGGGTAGTTGGGGAAAAGGACCGTCATCTTTCAATCAAGGCTGTCACTGTCGCTGTACGTCAGTCTTGATTTGTGGCAAATTTCTTGAATACCAAGATTTCCGATTTCCTCGCTCTATTAGTGATCAAGAAAGGGGAACTGTTGATTTTGCAATATTATAACCGCATTTGAAGAACGGAATCACTCCTCATTCTGAAAAATGTTCAACATTGATTACTTCAACTGAAGATGTTCTCTTTTCCGAAAAATACGTTAGTTGGTTGACAATGAACTTCCAAGAGAATACAGTAAAATCTCATTACAAAACCAAGCTTTGTGATCCTCGACTCCAGCTGATGCAGGAGAAAATCCTATAGGAGAACAAAATCCCCCGGCTCAAAAATTAAATCTCCGGAGGCCGATAATCCGTCGCGCCCGGAAATCTTCGGGGTACAAACATTGCGTAGGAACCAGAGTACCGAAAACGCTCATACGCAGCTTCATAGAGAAAATCTTTTACATTAAAAATGCGAACAGAATTTGTGACGTAAATTTCTGAAGTTTTCCACTTCAGAGCGCAGTTGACCTGTTAAACTCAATTGAGGAGGAGGTCACATTCAAGACAAATACTGTACTGGGATAAGGACTCCAAATGAAGGATACATCTTTCTCTAAGCCATCAGAATGGTTGGAAAGAAAACCCATGAAATTCCACAATTTTGTTATCCGCCGGACTTCCATTCCTTCCATAGCAGTTTGAAAGAAAACCCACACTCACTTCCACAAGTTCGTAGTAGACGAAATTCTCACTCCTGCAAGATTTCAC